TATATGTATATATATATATATATATATATATATATATATATATATATATATAGAGAGAGAGAGAGAGAGAGAGAGAGATAGACAGTATTCAAATAAATTAGTTTGGCTTATGGTAGAATTATGAATCATGTCAAGCTATTCAGAAAGTCTAGCTAACAAATATTATTTTGCTGGCCAAATGTCACATTACATAACCAATATTCATGAGTCAAAACTTCACCATAGTAGTATTACTTAGTTTGTGATGTGCTGGTGTTTATGAGTCATTTGGTGCTATGAGACAAATTCAACAAAAAACATGCCATGCACTAATGCTATTAATAGTGCATATATCCATTCCATTCTAATCTTTTAATATTTATGTAAACCTTTAAATAAATAGAGTGTGCTCAAAACTGGCACCTCAGTTTTGCTGTTTTATCAAAATTGGTATCAATAAGTAACATTTTAATGGTAGTTGTATTGTATTAGACTGTAGACATGTAAATACATTGCATCAGTACTATACTGCATTAGTTTATCATTGCAGTGTCACCTTTAGCATTGCCTGGAGCATCCTGTTGTTTGTCATCATCAGAGGTGGAGGAGGCAGTGCAAGAGGAAGAGCCACGCTTCCTCTTCACCGTATTTGGGATGTTACAGCTCTCCAGATACCTGATGAACCAAATAAAACCATGAGTTCATGGCCTGCTGTTGGATTGCTATTACAAGGACTAGAGATGCTAACTATACAATAAAATTATTAATCTGAAATTCACAACACATAATCAGTGACAGACGTTGTATCTTCAGGATTCAGTGCATTAATGATATGAAACACGAACCTTACAATACTATCCAAGCAGTTGATTTGCTGATAAGAGTAGGTGGTGGGCGGCTCCTTACGCACGATCAGGGAGGGTGCGGAGCTCTTCGAGGGTGGTGCAGCTCTAGGACTGAGACTGGGGCCCGGCACTGCTGCTCCACCTGCTTGCAAAGCACCTGTTTATCAGACAGAGAACATCTTGAAACTAACAACTTTAAAAAAAAAGAAAGAAATGAAACCGAGCAACTAAAGGCTGTGTCCTTACATTAACTATGAATATACTGTGAGTGATTTTGTACCTGCAGTGGAATGTCTTTTAGGTGGAGGTCGGTTGCGGGATTCAATGAAGACTTGTTGTCCACTGGTCTTCACCATGTGAACATCTTTGCAGATTTGCTGGAAGGTCATCTGTTTGAAATGCAGTTCATTTAATTTAAATGTTTACTATCCATCTCTGGCCTGTCTTTTATTTATATGAATAGTCCTAACAAGCACCTCAATACATAATATTTAAGGCCAAGAGAGATTTTTTAGGTCAAACACGGACTGACCCCTGCTGAAATGAGGGGCTTTAAATGTACAATATTAACATAACAGGGTTTAAGTGCTGTGTCTTTAAACACTCACAGGTTTTTGGAGCTGTGAGGGGTCCTCCAGACCCGGTCCACTGCTGTCTGATGAGGAGGCGGCACTGGGCTGGTGCTTGTGGGATCCATTGCTGGCCAGGCTGCTGTAGCCCTGAGAGCTGCCGCTGTGGACAGGCTGCACCAGGAGCCTGTGGATTTGCTCACTGAGCTGAGCGATGTCTGGGGACAAGGTCCGCTCCTCCAGACCCCTCGACAAGGTAAAGACGTCCTCATTCAGTGGAGACCTGGAAGGAAAGAATCAAGAGGTAATTGTGTGTATGTACAGAGTACAATAAGTAGACTGTGTGTTTGTTAGTGGTGGGCATTTTGAATTTCTCTAGGGAATCATTTTACCAAAAGGCTTCAGTTCAGTTTCATTCACTCATTCTGATTCACTGACTTTTCCTGTGCGTTACATCAATACATCAGTAGATTAGGTAGCGAACAGTAAGTGTCTTTTCGAGTGCTATGAGCAAGTCATTAAATCATTCACACAAAAGATTTGCTCAAAAACCCTTCACTCAAATGGATTCAGAATTTGTTGGGAAAAATGATTGAGAGTTATAATATTGACCATACCAAGACCAAACCAATGCATTTTCAATAAGGTACTCACAATTACAGTCATTTTAATTGTACACAGTCATTAGCTTCTGCTTCTGCTCCCCCTTTTGATGAACTGAATAACTGTATGAAGCAGTGACAATGTGTGCGCATATACAGTATGTGTAGAAGCACTATGAGTTGGGAGAAAAAAAAAAAAGGTCCTTGGGAAAAGTATTGAGCTCTTGAAAAATCTGTCTGTGTCCACATGACAGAGCATGTGCTTATGAGTGTGATGGAGTGTCTGTTGTGTGGGTGGTATGTGATTGAGGAATTACGTGTGTATGCCTGTGTATTTGTGCTGTGCACATGCCTAGAAGTGTGATGAAGTAGAAAATCAAGGTGCGCACTCACTTTTTTCTTTTTTTTCATGTTAGCTATTCAAATCAGACTCATAAGTGACTGATCTTAAGATTTTCATAAGATTTTTTAAAATGTTTTTAAAGTTTAAATGTTAAGTGACTTGTGCTCACCAAGAGAGTAAAAACTAATGCAGTGAAACATTACATAATTTTAAATAACTGTTTTCTATTTTAATATGTAGGGTGTCTAAAAGTCAATTTTGGACCTTGTGTGTACTCAGGTTCTTACGTTCTGATTTTGTGGCGGCCAACAATGAAGGCCACTTTCCTGCTCCAGGGGTTGATGAAGGAGGACCAAGAGGTGTCTATGGTCAGATACTCTCCATTATGTGTGCACATCCGCAAGGGAGAGTGTTCAAATGGCTGCCCTGCAAACTGAAGTACTGAAAGAGAAAGAAAAAAGTGAAAATGTAAGTATTGTACTGTACTGCTCTCATCAAAGAAAGGAAATCGACAGAGGTTAGAGAGAGGAAGGGAGAGGGACTCACTCTTCTTATGGATGGCCAACATAATGGGTCTGTCATCTGGATGGATGCACAGCAGGACTGGGGTCCCCACCAGTTCCTGAGGCAGGTACCCTAACAGAGGAACTGCCCGCTCATCCACGTCCTGAAAGAGACAGCTGGGGGTGTGACTGGTGGTGAATATCCTCTTATCTGGAGGAATGCGAGGGGCTGAAAGAGGGATGGAGAGAAAGAGAACGAAACCCAAACTAAGTTTAAAAATGCGTTTGTACTTTTTCCATTTGGTTCAAAACGTTATACTTGTTAAACAAGAAATGTACCTTCATATCCTGAGTGCACTCTCTCTGCGATGAGCAAACAGCAGGGTTGAGGGTAAGCCACGTCAGAGTCAGAGTCTTGGAGCGTGAGCAGGTAGGGGGTCAGTCTGAAGGGGTAGTACCTCACATCGCCACTAGTTGAGATATCTCCACTGATGCGACAAAACATGGACTTCTCTTGGGTGCAGTCCACCGGTGTAGAGACTAGTGAAAAGAGAGATCCAAGTTGTTTAAGACTTTAATTGTATTGCAATTACTGGTCTTGGTGGTCCTGGTTCAACAGAGGACACATGATAACATCAATAAGTAACACAACCAAAATACACCATGGACAAACATACCAGAGCCGATGCAAGAGGCCCAAGGAGGTAGTTTGCTGGGCGCAGTGTTGCTGTAGAAGGTGCTCACATCCTGGGGGGCCAAAAGCTCAGAAAACAAAACCCCATGCAGCTTCTCTGGCTTACTGCGCAGAAGAGATGAACCCTGTGGGGAGATGTACACAACCTTCCCAGACAGGAACGAAACCGCCATGGAGAATGTGTCCTGCACAAGAGAAAAAAAGACTCTTTTGTAACTTCTAACAAATACTGAACACAGTGTCTCTTCCTAAACGATACAATCTCTCATGGTATTTTACAAAACAGTATTGTTTATTCTGTTTATTTATTGCGAAAGTATTTTAGTTAATAAAGGTACATTTAGGAAAAACTAATTAAAACCATCAATCCAGCTAAACATGGTGACAGATTCACTGACTGACTCCTGACAGTTTCATCATCATCTCCTCACACCAGTCTCCTTTGTCATCTTCTCCCTTATTTGAAATGTTAGGACACGATGTTTACCCGATTTATCACTTAATATTTTCCAAACCCTATTTGTCTGAACTTTCAGGCACAGGTCAGAGTCAATGGAAGCACAATAAGAAGAAAAGTGTTCAGGGCTAAAGAAAAATCTTAGCCATAGAAACAGGGACATTAACTCTGGCCCCAGTTATGCTACTGGTTTAGACACCCTGTGTGTGTTCTTTTCAATTCTGTTTTTCAGTGCAAGAACACATCTTGTGCGAACACCCCATCCTTTCTCAAATGCTTTTCCATCTACACCCACACAAATTGATTTGACATTATAAATGCAAGACTAGACCAAATAGACAAGTGACGTCCAGGTCAGCTGACTGAACTTATTATCAAGCCCTATCTGACACGTCCCATGTCTGTATTAAATGTGAACAGGGAAAGTATTACTCCATTGTGTAAAGGTTATGTGCTTTCTGGACAAAGGTCTCTAGAGATAATAAGCCAAAATATTCTTGACCACAAACTGTACATCACATAAGGTTTTAAGTATAATCTGTTCATGGAGAAAACGTAGTATTTTCTCTGGATAAAAAGGATGAGCTTGCACCTTGCTTTGGGAAAGATTATATAACTTACTGCTGGTGTGAACAGCAGGTTAGTGTTTCTGTAGCAACTGACTAGGTCTGCAAGACTGAGAAAAGCTGTGTACCATGTTACAGAGAGAGAGTGGAGAAAATGAAAAGAAAAGATGTGAAATTTGAGTCAAAATGATTTTGCCATCTAGATTGTGTCTGTAACTCAAGTCTTGTCTTTGTTGTTGCTGACAGAATTATAAAACCAGTAACTGCATTGATGAGACTGAAACTACCTTTCATACAATAATATTTAAATATTGTGTTACTACAAGAGAGAGGAATGGGTTTGTGTGCAAATCAACGTACTGTATTTTTGAGCGTGTATTCGGAGGTGATATTGTCCAGTTCTTCAACAGTGAAGGAGGAGAGATCCAGACTACAGCCATGACACTCCTCAACATTCCACTGGTGATAATACTCCTGATTGGCTGCAAGATTCAAAGCAAAAAAAGAAAAGCTTTGACATTAACATTATTGGACCCACAAACTCCATTCATATTATAGGTGAAGGGTATAAACCCTGTGCTTCTAGCGGCACCAAACAAAATTCCAAAAATAGTGATTATTTTCAAATGCTTCAATCACAGTGTTTACAATTAATCTACAAATGGCTAATTTATAATTGAAGTTCTGGGGAAATAATTTTCACACTGAAAAAAGTTGATACATCACACCTTTAACTCAATTCAAGCTGTTGCCTTTCCTGTCAAACATAGAACACAAACCAACATATGAAACTCCCTCTCACCTCTGACTTGTCTGACACAGCTGAGGGCGTATTTGAGTGCGTTAAGAGTGCTGGAGCGTCCCTTCATCTTTCTCTCTGGTGGCAGACGGATCTTTAGCTCATTTAGGGCTCTCATCAGCTCTTTCTGGGTCTGGACGCGAGCAGACTGATCACTGCTCCAGCCGCTGGTGGATGGCGGGTCTTGTTCAGAGCTGGCGCTCAACAGGCTGTAAGCCAGAGAGCTGCTGGGTGGAGAGGGGCTGTGAGAGTTTGAGCTGAGGGAGAAGGCATCAAAAACAAGAGAGTAGCAATTTAGACATTTAATTATGAATAACTGAACAGATTTTTGAATATATTTCTAGTCTCTGAAATCTTACTTTCTTCTGAGGAATATATATATTAATCTAAAGAATGTTGTGCAATGGAAAGGTTCCAGGGATATATATATATATATATATATATACACACATATACATATATATATTAATATTAGAGGTCGACCGATATGGGTTTTCACTGGCCGATGCCGGTATTTCGAAATCAGGACAGCTGATGGCCGATATATGATGTTGATATTTCTTTGGCCGATATTTTGGCCGATTTTATTTTCTTCATCTCATAAAGGTGAGTTTGAGTAAATGATTATTGCAGGGTACAAGATAGTAATAGTAGCCTAATTCAGAGTAATAATACATGGCTCAAAACTTAAGCACCTTCAATCGGCCGACCTCTAATATATCTATATATCTATCTATCTATCTATATATATATATATATATATATCTAAGAAACACATTTCAGTTTACATTTCAGAATTTGTTTTTTTAGCATTATAATTTGCATTAGAGTTTAATTTTATATATGAATAATAATTTATTAATCTAAATCACAATCAATCTTAATCTTACTGGGCCCCCTGGCTGAGAACTCTAAAATGAAGGTAGACTCATAAAAGAAAATTGTTACGAATTATCCAAACCCTAATATTGTTTAAACCAGTTTGCTGTTGTTTTTCCCTGTGGAACACAAAATAAGACATTTTGGCAGATGAGGTAAGTACCATAAAAGTATAAGAAAAGTGATGATTGGTGTTCTATAAGTCTCGGGAAGTCATGTAATACCTTTTTAAAAAAAAATATTGACTTGATTTAATGCCAACTCCCTCTGATTTTCAGTTAAGCTTATGACTGAAATTAGTCATAGTGGGACTGAGAACAAATAATTTTTGCAAACATATGCTCTGAGACAACTTTGGGCGATCTGGTATCCATTCTCTTTCTCTCACCTCTTGTTGCTCTCCGTAGTCTCCAGACACATGCCTGAGTCTTTTCCATTCTGACTGGAGGAACTCTGATAACTTTGGTTCGACTGTCTCCCTCTGGATCCATTCCCTCTCTCCATCCCTCCTTCACTTTCCCTCTCCCCAGAGTCATTTCCACTCGATAGTCCATCCGTATCATCAGAATTTGTCCCTCGGTTGTCACCTGCAGATACTTTGTGATCAGATACCCCTCCTGGAGATGATCCTGTCCCGCTATTTATCAGATTTAATGAGAGAGAACTCTCACTCATGCTGCAGGATCTGTTTACAAGCCCTGCTTTTTTCTCGACCCCTCCTGCTCCTCTATCTGTATCATTGCTGGGGGCGGAGTCTGAGTTGTCATCACTCATTATAATACTGTAAAAATAAGCGGTTGCTAAGGTGATAAGATTCAAGAGTTGAATAAGTTCTCTATGTTGGGCTGCTTGAACAACAGTGGGAAATCATTTTGGTGGAAATATTCTTCACAGATTTGTTCCGTAATACAAGAATCATGGCGTATCCGGGTGTCTCACCACCCTGTCCTTTGTCTCAGCTCCTCTGGAACTGCAAATCAAGTAGTGCAAGTGCAAAATATTTTGTTAACTGCAGAATTTGTTGTTCAGCTCAGAAAAACAGACACGACTGGTTGTTACGAAACAGACTTGGCTGCTGCCACAAAGGCAGATGGAGTGTGACAATGCAAAAAAAAAAAGTCTGGCACCAAGTGCTAATATCTGCAAAGGCTGGCCCGTGTGGTCCGATCCAACAGATGAGCTACTGTAGCTCAAATTGCTTGAGAAGTTAATGCTGGGGAATTTGTGTGTGCGCTGTACAGGTCTGGTATAAAGAATGTTTTTGCTCAGGTGGCCAAAATGTCAGCCCAATAGAGAAAAGTCTTTCAGGGTCTGTCTATTCTGTTTGCTTCGCTTTGCCCTCTGTGACACTCTCTCTCTTCTCGGAGGACAGCTGCAAGGAAAAAAGCAAAAGAAAAGGTAAGCATCAGTCTGAAACATGTACAACAAGACATACTGAGCTGGTTAGTCATCTTGTATTAGGTAGCCCCATAAAAATTAACTTAAAGCTACAGTACCTTTCAAAAGTTTGGGGTCAGTAAGATTCTTTAATAAACACTATTCATCAAAAAAATCCTGAAAAAATTATTTTGTTCAGCAAGGATCAAATGTGACAGTAAACGCATATCATGGGTTTCCACAAAAATATTTAGCAGCACAACCGTGAGATATATATATATATATATATATATATATATATATATATCGATCAGGCATAACATTATGACCACCATCCTAATATTGTGTCGGTCCCCCTTTTGCTGCCAAAACAGCCCTGACCCATTGAAGCATGGACTCCACTAGACCCCTGAAGGTGTGCTGTGGTATCTGGCACCAAGTGCTAATATCTGCAAAGGCTGGCCCGTGTGGTCCGATCCAACAGATGAGCTACTGTAGCTCAAATTGCTTGAGAAGTTAATGCTGGGGAATTTGTGTGTGCGCTGTACAGGTCTGGTATAAAGAATGTTTTTGCTCAGGTGGCTGAAATGTCCACCCAACAGAGAAGTTTTGCTCAGAAATAATAAAAAATTAGAGGGAACATTGCTCCTCATGTGAATCAATGAGCCTTGGTCGTCCTGTCGCCGGTTCACCATTGTACCTTCCTTGGACCACTTTTGATAGATACTGACCACTGCAAACCAGGAACCCCATAAGAGCTGCAGTTTTGGAGATGCTCTGACCCAGTCGTCTAGCCATCACAATTTGGCCCTTATCAAATTTGCTCAAATCTTTTCTTGCCCATTTTTCCTGCTTCTAACACATCAACTTTGAGGACAAAATGTTCACTTGCTGCCTAATATATCCCACACACTATCAGGTGCTGTGAGGAAGAGATAATCAGTGTTATTCACTTCACCTGTCAGTGGTCATAATGTTATGCTTGATCGGTGTGTATGTATGTATGTGTGTATATATATATATATATATACACATATCTCCTAATGATCACCTCTAAACAAGCAAGGGAAGTGAGACTAAAAATTGAGCATGAAGGTAGAAACTAATTCTAAGCCAATCAGTTACTCTAAGGCATATTAACTGTGTGGCAAAGTATACATACACCGGGAAAAGTGGCTACTGGTACTAAAAGTGGTAATGCATGTACTGGATTGCTACATACATTTCCCAGTTTAAGGTAAAGATACCAAAACCCTGTTTTTTTTCCCAACATAGTAAACTGCATTGACCCATTTGCTTTAATTTGGCTAATTTGGCTCAAACCAAAGACCTGTTTATTAATACTTTTCATATTTGTAGATGTGAAAATTTCTAATCATTCTAATCAGGAGAAGAACCATATACCAGAACACTTTGTTAGACTTTGTAGACATACTGTTTGTTAAGAGGCTTCTTTGATGCACTATTACCGAAGAAACTATTACTGAACTATTTATAATTCACTTAAATAGCGTCTGCCAGACAGAGATTAAGAGTATTCCAAGTATGTGCAGCTTTGATCAGCATGAACCTTTTAGCTCACAACAAGCTTAAAATGTCCAACAAGCCATTAAAATGAGCACAAGGGTAAAGGTGTTTATATTCCCTTGCAATTAACAATCCAAGTTGTTAACAAAAGGTCAAAAGTTCAAAACATCAAGCAGTTACTGGAAGGAAGTGAAACGCCATTTCTGAAATTACTGAGAACACAATCTGTTTTGGTAACTGACCTACATTAAATCGAACTCGGGTTTGGAGCAGGCAATCGAATCAAGTGTGAAAGCACCCTTACATTCCCGCTGGGTTGACTGACGCTAATGCGGACGTGCACAGAATGATGAAGGTGTGGAGAAACTTACAGACTGGTCACACTTAAATCTAAATCCACCTGATATGCAAACAGTTCACCCTCTATTCCTTCAGTAGTTTCTACTAGCAAAACAGCTGCTTTTCCAAAGCATCTCGCCCCCAATATAGTCGTGATCTGCTGGCTGGCTGCGTGCACTGCTTGTCAGACTCCCCTCCGCCGTGTGCGTGGTAAATATAAAGCACACGTGTCTGCTGATTCCATCAAGTTGAACGGCCTCCCTCACAGCTTTCATTAAGTTTCATATCTTATCAATAAGTTATTTGTAATCAGTAAAATCAAGTTAAGTTTTAACTGACAAATTCCACATGAGCAAAATGGCTGTTGTGATGATACCCAGAAGAACAGCACGACTACAAAGGTTCAGAATTATTTTTGTATGTATCTTTCTATGGCAGGAATAGTAAGCGGGCTCCAAATTAAGCAATAAATGCAATAAAGTTATTTGTTTCAGTCCTGAATGAATGTTAATAAAAGTTAATAAAACAAAACATTTACTGTTAGAGTTCAATTAAGTAGGTTAAAAGAAGACTGCAGTGAATTCAACATTTGAACATATATGTGTCCTCAGTACTGTATTTTGCATTGCAACTACATTAGCCCCATCAGACTAAATATACTGACTTATTTACTTCACCTATAAAATGTTTATTTATTTATTTTTAATAAGAAGAGTTCATTATAAGTTAGTTGAATATGCTGTGGCACAGAGAGCCTCCATCATTGATGTAATTTTACAGTAATGCATGTACTAAATGAAAACATGTTTGAAAAATGAGTTCACACAGCGAGCAGTTCTGTAAAATTGCATGACCCAAGTTATCCAAAGCCTAGAAGCTATTTATTTAAAAACAAGGCCATAGGCATATAGTTTCATATGGGGTATCAGCTGCTTTGACAGACTGCTGGGTAATGTGGAGGTGTTAGCTCTACCACATACTTTTACTGATAAGACTCAATCTACAGCCAGTTTTTAAGCTTTTTGGGGAAATTTAACTACAAACAACATAGCGGTCATTGCGCATTAAACAGGAATGGGGAAAATAAATATCCATAACTTTTAATTTCCAGAGAAACAGAAAGAAAAGAACTATCAAGTAACTGGGACTAAATTACTCAAATGTGAACTGAAATTGATTGTACCACTTTTGTTTTGATATGCAAAGAACGCTATCATGTTAGATGCATCACACATTTTTCACCGAACTGTCACCTAGTCTCACATAGCCAGACTTTGAACTAACAAACAACATCAATTCTGGTATACTATTTTGGTCAAGAGCTGCACACAGGTATAGACTGCTACGGTGAACATGTACAGCATGAACTGTCTGTTTTGTTTTTACATGTCAATTAGAGACAGGTTTATCTGAAATTGCTCTAGTTGACTGGAGAAAAAAAAAAAACGGATTCAATGGCACCGAAGTCTTGGTCCATGAACAGCTGCACAGAAAATACCAAAATAAACAGAAGAGGGACTCATACAAGGTACAATACAGGAAATAAATGTCACAGATTGACTTCCTGGTCCAATTCAAAGAATAAAAATTGGGTCAGTGGAGTACAGTATATTTTGAATGTAATATTAGTATTTAGTGACCATTTATTATTTATTCAAGAAATATATGACATTCCTACCACAATTTCACAGGTCCCTGCAGTTCCTTCATGAACCCCTAGGAGTTTGCAAACTCCTGACTGAGAAACACTAATGCAGGCACTAAGCCTTTTTAAATGTCTTTGAATGAAAACGTTTTCTCTATCTATGTGTGGTCCTAAATGGTAAGCTAAGAAACCAGAAGGATGACTTTCAATAGCCTGTAAAATGATGATCTAATTGGCATACACTGATTTGTAAAATTACGAGCACTCAGAGCAGTATTTATTTGCCTGGACAGACTGAACTCCCAGGTCTCTTATAGTAATAAAAAGCAGTCATCATTAGGGGCGGTTCTAGGGTGAGTATATATCCGGGGCTTAGCCCAGAGACATCCATGTACGAGTCAGAACACACGGGATACACTTACAAAAAAATATAATAATAACATTAATAACAGTTTACATGTCGGTCAGAAGTACGAGCCTCAGTGGGCGGTTCTTGTCAGGAGTGAATGACAAAGTAGACACTGTTAGATGTACAGATAGCAAAACTGCGGTTCTAATAGAAATAATTTTAATGCGCATGAAACTCAGTGATTCGTATAGGACACAGTAA